ATTAAAAAAGAAAATTTTTCCCTTAGGTTTCACTGAGTAATTATTTATTTATTTGTTAATTTTCTGATAATGGGAATTAATCTTGCGATACATTAAGAGCCAGTAAAAACCCAAATCTTATCTCTATTCATTTTCAAGAATTCTTTAACTAGTAACAACTCTGATCGTTTGTCATTGCTATGCCCTATTTCCAGTAGCAACTCTTATAGTTAACTGTGCTTTCTAGTTTCAGTTGTTCAATTCTCAAAATATCGAATATCATAAGCAGATAGGTATATAGATTTCCCAGTTATAAGAATCTTACAGTATCCTCCTATAGTGATTTAATCAATTATCAATAAATAAAAAGAAAAGGATCTAAATAGATATAAGTAGACATATACATCTGTGTGTATCTATACTTCTTTTCGGTGATAGACTATATATATAGATCGTGATCGTGATGGTGCCAATAGCAAGAAAAAGAGAGAATGCAATATAAATACTTTTGTAGGATCAGCAATTTACAAGTGTAAGTCAATTGGCTTTGGCCTCAACAGACCCTATGACATGGAACGGTTTCTCTGTGAATTTTCCATGAAGCAAACAGACTATCTGATCAGCCTACACCTAACCAACGAGCATATCCGTAAATTGTAGAGTCCAATCGAGCATTAGTAGTCATTGAAAACATGGGAACTGAGAAATTTAAAGCCATGCTATTAAAGAGGAACATGAACATCAAAACAAGTTTATGCATGAGCAATTAAATGAGGTCAAAACAAAAAACAAAGCTATGCAATGGATGGGAAGAAAAACAATAACATCTCTTCGGTACTGGTGTGGCATTTAATTGCACAGCCTACACTATTTATATGCCACTAAAAGAGTCAGGCCATTTTGTGTAGGCCAAGAGTCGCCGTACATGAACTTGGTGATTGATGATTCTCTGAACTTTTCGTTTGCATGGAGACCTTTTTAAAGTAGCTGATGGCTAATTCCAAAGGACTCTCCTTTAAGTGTTGTGACTTTCTCTCCTTAACCTGCTATCAACTGAAGCATGAGGCACGTTTCATTTTCACCTCTCACAGAGATCAACAGTAACAAGCGTCATTGGAACATACGAATTCAAGTGTTGCATAAATTCTGGGTTGTGGATGAAAGTTTTGAGTGGCACATCAAATCTTTTAATGCAATTGTGGTCTATAATGAGAGCTTTGTTATTTTTGGGCTTACAAATATCATTATTGACTCATGAAATGTTTTCTAGTAATTATGAGTTCTCTCCTGAGATGAAGTTAGTGGTTGATTGTTGTTTTGATTTCAGGGTACAATCCGAGTATTCACTTGTAGCACAGATCTTATGTATCTCATGCATCCAATTTGGCCGCTTTTAGTGGAAGGTTTCTCATATGATCTTCATCACGTCATAGCGAGCACAAACTCAAATGCATTCCCTATCTTGTCGAGATGGAACATAGTTCCCGCTTTCACCACAAAAATTGAATATTCTCTAGTATCAATCCCAGTGCCTAAATACCCAACTTTTGATTCATGGTCTTCGAGGATGAGTCATGTTGCCGAACATCACCTCACACGTATTTATTTACAGCACCTTTTAGCTGTCTACATTCTTTACCGTTTGCCTTACCTGGGTTATGTCGATGTTTTAGATCTCACTGGATTTATGGAAGACGTTCAACGAATCTGTTTGACCTGTCGTGGAGCGCAACAAAAATGGGTTTTGAGATTTACTCTTACAAATCTAAGGTTTGGCCTTGATTTTTATCGTCTTTGTTCCTACTCACCGATCCTATCAGTTATTTAGATTGATTTATTTGTTTCCTAGTGACTTTGAAGTTTAGTGCTGCGTCCAAGATGCTCCAGCATGGTTTGCATACCACGGATATAATCAGCTCCCTAACAAAACCAATGTTCTGATGTTCCTCGAGTTTGTCCGGGTAGTAGACTTCTAGGGTAATGAGTTGTTATCATTTCATTTTAGATTTTTCAGTAGATTCTATGGAAAGCATGTGCGTGGAATATTGACGGATCAATTTTTACTATTTAAACTTTGCCTTTAAAAAATAGGAATTAAGTTCGACACAGCCTACCAAAATGCGACCAGGGTCGTTTTCAAATCTGATCATCCAGAATTTCAAGCTCTCATTGATGGCTTGCATAATGGACAAACTAGCACAGCACTTCATGATTAAAAGGCCTTAGCTCACCAATAATTAAGTCCCTCAGCTCTATACAAGAATATACCTTGAAAAATTTATTCCAGTTATATATATAAAGCGTCTGTATTGCTTCTGTCATAGTTATAGTTATGTTCATCTGTCTTATCAGTTGAATTAAATGTATTTCCTGCTCAAGAACATTGTCCCGGTTTGTGAATGTATATAGCTACACATATTCTAATATACTGAGGTGTGCATAACAGATAAAATGTAGAATGCGTGACAGTAATATTATGAAAGAATCTAATGAGATATATAAAAAAATAATCATTAAACAAGAAATGATTACATATAACAAGTCGATGAGTTACGAGAAGTAAAGGTGCTGGTGGGTGGTATTTTTTACATTCAAGTAGATAATATATTTTCCCCAGCCATAGAAATAGTTAATAAATTGATGTCGATTGTTACTCAGTGTCCTTATTATATTAATTAAATCTTCTAAACTAGTGGCTTTTATTCACGTTCATTTTAATATTTTATTAGAAATAACTAATACTTCCTCCGGTATTTTGTAGTGTAAATTATACTACAAAATAAGTCTTATATTTAGAACCGAAGGAGTAACTAATTTTTAACTAGCTTTATTAGCTTCATTAATTTATGTGACGTTATTATTGGGTGGTTATCATAAGTATATATGGCGGAGATTATCTTTAAAGAATAGAAATATTATTGATGAATCCTTGGCAGCCTCTTCTAACATTATTGTATTCAAATTATATTGCAAAAATGTACTAAAAAAATATATTGTTTGCATTTGTTGGTTAGACTGGACTGCACAAACTCAAAGTGTATTGAGATATATTTTACCATGCCGATGAAACGGAATGCATGACCTCATAAAGCATCTTATAACATAAAAAACGATTTATTAATATGAAATATCACGTATTTTATTTGGTTTATTTTCCACGCAAACCAAAGTTACACTCATGAGCTTATCTGTGTAATGCAATATAAACAATTTAAAATTTAATATGGATAGATGAGATATAGAATAATAGAAATTTTTTAACGTGTGATCTTTTTAGTAATATATCTATTTCTTAGAGAACTATTATTTATAGGATGTTTTGTATTTAAATTTGATTCTTGTGTCTATTAAAATAAAGAATTAATTTGATAGGTTGATTTCATTCATCTGATTTGCAAAACTGCATATAGTTTAATTTCAGTTGTACCTTATAACTGACATTAAAAAAAACCCATTTTAGGAAAATATTTTTGATTCGATCAAAAGCAATTGTGGATGCTACATATCCAAATTTAATGGAAAATATTTTTGACTCAGAGTATCTTTCAAGCAAAGCAATTCTAGCACCTACAGTGGAAATCGTCAAAAGTCTAAATGACTATGTTTTGTCCCAGGTACAAGGAGAAGTGGTTGAGTGTTACAGCTCAAATTCCATAAATAAAACACAGAAAGAGGATGCTACACAGCATTACATATACACAACAGAATTTTTAAACACAGTGAATTGCTCAAGCATTCCACCACACGTCTTAAGATTAAAGGCTGGTGTACCAATAATGCTTCTAAAAAACATTGACAGTTTGTAGGATTATGTAATGGAACGAGACTGCGAATTACTTTACTTGGAAGGCACTTCATAAAGGCAGTGGCATTAAATGGGACAATCAAGGATGAAGAAGTGCTCATTCACAAAATGGACCTTAACCCGCCACAATCCAGGCTTCCATCCTCAATGACTAGGAGACAATTTCCAGTAATGGTATCATTTGCAATGACAATTAACAAAAGCCATGGACAATCAAGGAAAGGGTGGGAATTTATCTACCAATACCAGTATTCTCACATGGACAATTGTACATAGCACTATCAAGGGTGAAAATTATTGAGGGCTTGAAAGTACTGGTGCTAGACATAGAAAAAAAGCCCACCAATTGAACAATAAATGTTGTCTACAATGAGGTTTTCTAGAGTGTAATTTCAACCTAATACACGAGTACTAACTGTTAGAACTACTGATATAGAGCATCTTCATAATTAGTTCATCCAATTGGAAAAGACTGGCCGTGTAATGCACAGGGTACGGCGTCTAGTTTTATCAATAGGTCATTTGTCAGGCCCCTTTTCACCCCATCCAAAACTAGGCTGAGCCATATTTCATATCACTTAAGTTTATCTGACCCAACTTCCTCTATCATTTTATGATGAAAGTTTTTGATACCGCTCTCTAGGAAATACAAGACAATATTAATTTGAGTCTAAAAATATGTTTGAGCTAGACCTAGCCTTGAAAAGCTTCTTCTCTTTCTATTTGTTTGGGTCATTGGTGGTGTTCGTACAAAAATAACCATTTCTGGGAAATATTGCTTTTATTCTTGTTATAAGGCTACCTTTTATGGTCTGTTTTATAGGGAAAATCAATAATTTAATCTATTTGGAATTTTGACATGATTATGATTCATTGATTCAATTGATTTATGGCAACAAAACTACATGTACTAGATGATTAATTTTCTCAATTTAAAAAAAATCAATTAACTAAAATTTAATTTATCTAAAATTGCTATAATCTTACCAAAAAAAAGCATAAAGTAACTTAAGAAAGCTTTACCTCTTCCAATTTAAATTTGAATTAACGAATACTCCCTCCAACACTAAATATACGTCAACATTTGAGCAATTATCATTTTTTTTGGAATTTTTCCTAAAAATATTGATATTCTATATTTAAGATCAAAAGAAATATCCTAATAGGTCTTATATTTAAAATTAAAATGAGTAACATAAGGATTCATAAGAGAAAAATGCTCTCACACTCAAGGGCATCGGAGAGCGGCAATAAGGGTGAGTTGACGGCAGAGGAAGCAGATGCACTGGATTGGAGCAAGCGGAAGGTTTGTAGAGAAGGAGGAGAGTTCACTAGAGGGGTTCTTTGTAGCCTAGAAGTAAGGACTAGGTGGAAGATGAGTAGATTGAAGAGGGCGAAGTGCAAGGAGTGTGATCTTATCGCAATTCGCTGCTATATCATACTGTTAGGGGGTCGTGCTGGTGTTTGGGGAGCGATGTACTGATAGATACAGGGTTTGAGTCTATAGAAGACTTGAGCCAAGGAATCAAGGTCGATCGATCACATCCAATGTGCCCTAACATCATTTTGGATAGGGCAGAACAAGAGAGATTGGCAGTCCCTTTCAAATGGATGCTAATAGTGAAATTGCTTAGGAGATCTCCAAGTCTAAGAAGCCTTGGTTCGAAAATCGAGCAGATGTCGAGCAAGCACGATAAGGTTGAGGTGGTAGACATAGACTCTGATTTCTTTCTTGTTGAATTGCTAAGGATTATGATACTGTGTTAACGGCAGGGCTGTGGGTTATTATGGATTTTTATCTTATTGTAATGAGTTGGAAGCCTGGATTTAACCCAGCTACTGAAGTGATTGATGAGGTGGCAGTGTGGGTACGGTTGTCAGTGATTTCTATGGATTTCTATGATAAGAAAATTGTGTATGCTATTGGTAGTAAGATTGGCAGAGTTATTAAGGTGGATGGCCCGACTGCTAGGATGAAGAGGGGTCGCTTTGCAAGATTTTGTATAGAGGTGGACTTGACTAAACCATTATTGCCCCATTACGCAATCAATGACATGAACTATCTAATTGAATATAAGAGCATGAACTTGCTCTATTTGAAGTGTGGCAATTACGAACATGTAAAGGACTTTTGCAAGAATGTGGAGTAGGTTGAGAATCAGAATACCAGGCTTAATGCTATGATGGATGACTCCGATGGTGTGATTAAATCCCTGGTTGTTGAAGAAAATGAGGTGTGGAGGGTTGTGAAAAGGGCAAGAAGAGGTAGGAGGGGGAGGCCTATGGTTGGCAATGTTCATTCTGGATCTAGATTTGATGTACTACGGGAGGTATGAGAGACACAAGTTGAGTAATATACAGCTACTAAAAATAACAAGGAGAAGAGTGAGGATACTTTGGGTGTGAGGAAAAGATTTGAGGGACAGGGTAGAGGAAAGAAACCTCTAATTGATATTATGAATAGTCAAGAGGCTACTAAAAGGGATGACATTAAAAAAGGAGTAGAGTAGAGAAGTATAAGGGAAAGAAGGGAATAAGAAGGAGAATTCTTCAGTGCTCAAAGAAGGATGGGGATGGTTGTAAGAAATGAGGACAGTGAGGTTGTACCTTATGAGGAGGAAACCTCGGTAGCAGAAGAATGTAGGAATGAGGCTGGTCTAGGGGAAAGGCATGTGCAGTCCAATGGAAGAAGTGGCTGTGAGACTATGGCCACACAGTATGATCTTAAAGGGAAGGGGGAGCTTACTAGAAGTTGGGCTGAAAGAATAGAAGAAGATGTGAAGGGGAGCTTATGTGAAGAAAGTGAGGTTATAAGGGCCAGCTTGGGTAGTGAGTTGGGGGTGCATCGTCAGACTTATCCTACAAGTTTTTAATCTCTGTCATGATTTGGAACTGCAAGGGTGCTGTAAGCAAGTGGTTTGCTCTTTCCTATAAAAACTTGATTAAAGTAAGAGGGCCAGCTTTCATTGTACTATTAGAACCAAGAGTAAGTGGTGAAAGAGCAAATAAGATTACCAAGAGCCTTGGTTTTAAGAAGTCAGTTAGGGTAAAGGTAAGAGGCTTTGTAGGAAGTACCTGGCTTTATTGGTCAGATGAGGAGTTGGCAGTCAGAGTGATTGAGCAATCTAGTCAATTCCTGCATGTGAGGATTGGGGAAGGGCAAGAGGCATAGTGGTGTACTATAGTCTATTCTGATCCTCATGGTTCTAGTAGAAAAGAGCTCTGGAGTCGTCTAAAGAATATAGCTAGAAGCATGCGGGAGCCCTGGCTGGTAAGGGGTGATTTCAATGAAATCACTTCTCTATTGGAGCAAAAAAAGGGTGCTAAAGTGAACTTGCAGTGATGTGACAATTTGAAAGAATAGATTTAGGATTGTAGATTAATTGATATTGAAGCTGAGGGAACCTTTTTATACCTAGAGAGGTCCGAAATGGCAAAGAAGGGAAAGAGTTTTGAAGCAGTTGGATAGAGGATTGTGTAACATTGCTTGGCAATAATGGTTTCCTGATGCATCTGCTAAGGTACTGGCTCATATCTATTCGAACCATCACCCTATGTTATTTGAGTTGTCTACTAGAACTACCCCTATGGGTTTACATCCTTTCATATTTGAAGCCATGTGGATGTCACATTATGGTTTCAAAAATCTGTTACGGAGTGTCTGGTATAAGGAGGAGGATGTTTGTGGTGGGCCGGGAAGATTGATAGATCCATTAAGGATATGGAATAAGGAGGAGTTCGAGTGGATCGAACAGAAGAAGAGAACACTTACTGTGCGGATTGTTGGCATCCAAAGAAGCCTCAATGGTAGAGAACATAGGTTTCTTGAAAAGCTTGAACATGAGTTGGTGGAGGAACTGAGTGAAGTATTAAGACAAGAGAAGATTCACTGGTTCCAGAAATCAAGGTGGGAGTGGCTTAGAAACAGTGATAGGAACACGAGATTCTACCACCTAAGAACCTTGAGCAGAGGGCAAAAAAGGAAGATCAACATGCTGAAAAACGCTGCAGGAATATGGATAGATAAGGAAAGGGAATTGATTGAGATGGTGAAGCAGCACTAAATGAATTTGTTCTTGGAAGAAATACATAATATAGAGTGGTTCCAAACTGTACACTCTTAGGACTGTATTAATGAGGAGGAAAGAAGAAAGTTAAGAAGAGAAGTGAGTAGTGAAGAGATTCATAGAGCCGTGTTCAATATTGGAGCTTTCAAGGCTCTAGGGGAGGATGAATTTCATGCTATTTTCTACCACAAAAATTGGGAAGTAGTAGGGGAAAATGTGATTAAGTTTGTGCATAGGATCTGGAAAGAGCCTAAAAGGCTTGTGGAAATTAATAAAACTTTGTTGGTGCTAGTACCGAAGGTAGAGAAAATGGAAACTATTAGTCACCTGAGGCTAATATCCTTATGCAACGTTCTCTATAAAATTGTCTTGAAGATAATCATTGGGAGCCTTAAACCGTTATTGCCAAGGCTAGTTTTGCCATACCAAACGAGCTTTATTCTCGGTAGGTGGATTCAGGAGAGTATTGTTGTTGCTAGAGAGTTTGCCCATTATATGGGAAAGTTAGGGGAAAATAAAGGGGTATATGGCTATAAAGGTTGATTTAGACAAGGCGTACGATAGAATAAGTTGGGACTTTTTAAGAAAGGTGCTAGAAGAAATTTGTTTGCCTCAGGATCTAGTAAACATTATTGATTGGTGTATGAGGTCTGTATCAATGTAGTTACTGTAGAATGGGGGCAAATCTGAAGCTTTTTTTCCCTCTAGGGGCTTACGGCAAGGTGACCCTATTTCTCCATACCTCTTTGTTCTAGGAATGGAGAATTTGACCCATATCATCTTGGATGAAGTGGAGAAAGGTAGATGGAAACCATTGAGAGTTAGAAGGAATGGGAGTGCCATTTCCCATCTCCTTTTTGCCGATGATCTCCTGTTGTTTTCTGAAGTTGAGAAGTCTTAGTTAGAGGTAGTTCTAAGGTGCTTGGAGGTTTTTGGGTGCATGTCGGGCCAGAGGATCAATCCCCAAAAGACTACTATTTGGGCTCTTATTCCTCATATTGAAGCAGGACTTGAAGCAAGTTTTAATTCTTAATTGATAAGTTACAAAAGAAGCTAAGTAGGTGGAAGACTAGTACTCTTTCTTATGCAGGAAGGTTAACCTTGGTGCAATCAGTTACGCAACAAATTCCCATCTTTAATATGTTTCATGTGGATGTGCCAATTGGAGTGTGTATACAGATTGAGAAATTGCAGCGTGACTTCATTTGGGGAGATGAGGATGGTAAAAGGAAGATTCACACAATTGGGTAGAAAAGAATGTGTCTTCCAAAGGAGGTAGGGATTTGGCTTTAAGGACCTGAAGAAAATGAATGATGCCCTTCTCTGTAAAACGGGGTGGGATGTGATTACGAATCCAAAGAAATTAAACTTAGATATTCTGGTTAATAGATATGGAAGAAAGGCAGATTTAACGATTGAATGCACAATGAAGAGTTCTGATTCACCATTATGGAAGAGATTGGGAGCATTGTGGCCAGCGATTATAAAGAATCTGGGTTGGGAGGTTAATGATGGGAGGAAGATAAACTTCTGGAAGAGTAAATGGGTTAATAAACAAACTTGTTTACTGGATAAGTGTGTGACAATGCCCAACGAGGAGGAGTTACAGAAGCGTGTTGCTGATTATGCCGATGACAATGGTTGGAAGGTGAACAGGTTAGACAATTTCTTATCTAAAGAAGACATTGATTTGGTGTTGGCAATTCTTCCTCCTAATAAGATAGATGGAGAGGATTGTATGAGATGAATAGGAGTAAAAGGGAAGGAGTTTAGTATGTCAGAGATGTATAACCAATTGTGTGGAGTAAGGAGGAGCGAAGGAGAGGTGTTGTGGAAGGCGATTTGGAACTGGAGCTGCCCTCATCATATCCAGGTGTTTCTATAAAAGGTGGCAAATGATGGCCTCCTCACATCAGAGAGAAGATATCAAGTGGACATAGGTTCCCCTTTGTGGTGTAGATGTAAAAGGGAAGTGGAAGGCCTCTCTCGTGTGCTGCGTGACTGTCGATATGTAAGGAGAATCTTGGACCAGTTGCTGGTAGGTACTACTATTCCCTTGTGCTTAAATCTATATATAAAGAGATGGATGGAGTTAACCTGAAATGTAATAATACTATTTCTGGAAATCTTAAATGGAACTCTGTGTTTGGTATTGCTTGCTGGTTCATCTGGTTATAGAGAAATAATGCCCTCTTTGACGAGTCTTCTAATGATCATAGTGCTAAAGTAGGGGTAATTTGGAGATATGCAGAGTTTGTTAGGGATGCCCACTTGCATGAACCAGTGGATGGATTGAAGGTTTGGAGAAATATTAACTGGGTACCCCCTAAGCAAGGGTGGGTGAAATTGAATGTGGATGGGGCTGCCAAGGGTCAACCAAGAAGAGCGAGTTATGGAGGAGTATTGAGGAATGAGAAAGGTGAATGGATTGGTGGTTTTGTTAGTCATTTTTACTGCTTTTACCATGGAACTATGGGGCTTATGATCTGGATTTCACCTCATTGCTAGCAAGGAGTTCAAGAAAATCATTGTGGAGTTGATTTTGTTGCCATAGTCTCTGCTTTATTTGATTGTTGTAGTGATCAAAGAGTTGATAATAGGTTTTTACAACAGATACGTAGAATGATTGGAAAGGATTGGGAAATACGTGTATAGCATACTTATAGGGAGGGAAATTCTTGTGCTGATTGGCTTGCTAACTGGAGCTTGTTGCAAGATCCTGGCTTATAGCTTCTGTGTGATCCTCTTGTGGGTTTACGGATGTTTCTATATAGAGATAGAACACGCTTTGAATGCCCAAAACTTGTTGATTTGAATAGTAGTTAATTTTGGGCTTTTTGCCCCCCTTTTTACCAAAAAAAATTCAAAATGAATAATTATTTTTTAAAATTTAAATAAATTAGTTAGAAGGGTCATATATTTATAATAGACAAGAATAATAATTATTCCCTCTAGTCCCAAATATATAAGCTAATTAGAATGTTTACTGCAGTTCTAAATATAAGACCTCAAATCAATTTATCTCCCAAATTCATAATTTTTTTTCTAAACTATCCCTATTACTTACATATATGAAAAGGGTT